AGTGACATCTGTCCATAAAGGTGAGCTTAGCATGATGTAATTTCTGATAGACGTCAGAGTTTTAATATCCTTATGTAAAGTTACAAATCTCATCCAGATTCAATTTCAGCTAAATGTCATATTACGGCCCAGAGAAGGTCACTGACAACCAGAGGAAATTGATGATGCATTTCGGCATGTTACCAAACCAAGTAAACAGTTAACTTGATTTTTCCACATACAAAGTCTTTTAACAAATTGTTAGTTTGTTTGTATCTAAATATTTAAATCTAATATGAGGAATATCCAATTATGCAAAGGCTATGCTCGCTTCTAAAGTTTTTGTTTTTGTTTTTCACTTGCATGCAGATAACTACAGGAAGAGATTATTCATAGAGAATGTGTCTTTAAACCATTCTGGTTATCGCTGTCGTCTATCTTGTATTCACATAAGGTTCCTATCTCAGATACATCCTTCGGTAAATGCCTTGAATCACATGCCTTCTTTGACTTGGCAACCCCTTTGGGATGAACAGGCAAGTGCATTAAGCAGAGACGCGCACCATTCTCAGAGAAATGCAAATTGGGAAGTTGTTAGTTATTTGATGTTGCAGCACGATCCCCCCCGCCCCCGAAACATCCCTCCACTCCAGTGTTGGTGGTTGAATCGCATGCAGTCCTGGGGACAGGCAGGGCTGTTTATATGCAGGCCTGGAGCAGCAAAGACAGCACAGAGACAGATGCATGTCAGAGATAGCAGATCCCATCTCAGGCAGATGCCTCTTATCACAGGCCTGTTTGCATAATTAGTCCTTTTGATATTCACCCCCTCTGACTGACAAAAAGTATAATTGCAGTATCAACTACGACAAAAGGTAGGCACAAAATAAACAAGTCAACATAAACAGGGAGAAAAGACGCGGTGTTATTTTTGTCCTGTGGGAAAAAAAGAGGGAGGAAAAAACAGCATTTTAAACTAAATCTGCTGTCAGTCACAGTCAACTGGTGTGACTCGGTGCTCAGAGGCTGGTCCTGTGAATGCCTTCAAAACACAGAGCGTGAGGCCTGATTGTAATTATGCTGGAACTAATATGCTTTTCAAAATGAGCCATTATGAGCTAATGCTGCACTGCCAAAGCCCTGTCTGTTTTTGTCCCTCTGTCTTGGATAGTTTGCAAAGGTATGGCTGATATTGAGGCCATGGGTTATGATATCAGAGACAGTCTGCTAGGATGAGCGCTGATTTACTTTAAGCTAATACTGCTCACAGGTGAGTCAGAGATGAAGGATATAAAACACCTGACAACTGCACCGGGCTGTTATTTTTAAACAAGTAACTTGCAACTTCTAATTATTGTTACATTATATTTTCACTAAGAGAAAGACATTTTTTTTGTTCATCTTTTACGCTTGCAAAATAACATTTAAGTTTTGTCACTGTGTCTATTTTTTTTATTTATTCTATTTTTTTCATGATAGATTTTTTCTCAGTACTGATACACCTCTTAAAATTATGGATATCTACCCATTCAACTTTTTTCTTTGTGATATTCATATAATGGCTCAATTTAATGTTTTTCATATATCAAGTTTTACTTCTAATATTCATTGCGATGCTTAATCATGGACATTTACTCCAGAACATAGTTTGGGGAATTTTCACTGAGAACAAGGTTCAGATGCACGTATTTAGCCACATTTTTCAACAACCTGGTAGCGATGAAGTTTATTGCCGTTGTTCTGAATCGTAAATCTGTAACCTTACAGATCACTTGGCTAATTGCCGGCATTGAGCATACAGCTGTCTGTTTAATCAGCATTACCTCAGCGTCTCGGGGGTAAAGGTGGAGGACTGCAGGAGTCCGAGGGGTTGGAGGGAGAAGAAGGGAAGAAGAGGAGGTTGGGAGGGGGTCGATAAGAAAAGGGGAGGGGTTTTTAGGAACCGGGCCGATGATGAGGATCCCATCTGTAGTCTGAGGGGTCTGTCTGTGGGGTCAGCAGAGGAGTATCAGGGGGGAGAGCAAGCTTTAAACCTCATAGTAACCTTAAGACTATTTACTAGCAGCACAAGTCCTTCAAGAGTAAGGACTCAGTTTTATCTAAAAGGTCTGGTCAGAATTAAAAGACCATTACAGATGAGTAACACCAGGGGGAATAAATGTTGTGGTTCTCCACATCATTAGTGATAGTTTATACTATGACATCAGCTACATTAACGTTATCAACTGTTAATCACTGTAAATGTTATTGTTCATCAACTGTGCAACCAAAATGTGTTTTTCGGGTTTGTAACGCCCAAGTGTTTTGTCAATTATATTCAGAACCATTAACAATAAGTCAGTAATTATTCATTTCCAATAAGACCTTTTTAAACCATCTCCTGTATTGAAAACATCCATTTCACAAGTTATGACATTCATTACAATTTAGTTTAAGATAGCTCTTATTTAAACAATTCCCAGGTGTTATTTCTAATCTTAATCAAGAAACTAGACAAAGCAATGTGTAAACCTGATTAACTCCTATTCATAATAGGTGCGCTTTTAAATCAATATTGAGGAAAAACCTCAGAGGGCCCCTGCAGGAGAGTACACGGCAGTAATCATGCCCACTGGATGGGACATAATTAGATTCTAATTGGATGATAAGTAATGAAACAAGGCATGAGTGGGTTATCAATATCCAATGAACCTGTGAATGGTATTAGCGCCGTCGTATTATAGGAAGGTGTAATCAAAATGTACCTTTTTGTGCCGAGAGACCATTAAGGAAATGACCTCGACAGCCCTGCAGGGATTTTGTGCGATAAGTCTTATTTTGTATTTGATTGTTAACATTGGCCCATGTGTGAGGGGAAAAAGAGACTTACAATTAAGATTTTAATGTCCCTTTTGTCGAGAAAACGGACAGAAAAAAAACATTTATCCAATCCAGCTTGTGAATAATCGTTCTTCAACAGACTATTGTAACACGCTGGAAGTTAAAAAGGAATCAGTGTCAGACTCATTTCTTTTTATAATAACATGGAGCTCAGCCATGTGTTTTAATGTATTTTCTTTCCTCTATTCGTCAAATGTAGTCGGCATATAGATGAGGTTTACGTCCAAAACCAATTCCCAGTTGGCCCGGTGCTGCGTGTGCCATTTTCCATTTTCCCTCGCTCATTACAGGCACGGCTGTTGACCTTGTGCTTCTGGTCCATGTACAAGAGCAGATGTGTTGTCTCTGTCGGCTTAATGGAGAGCAGCAGTACAAGCTATTGTCTGCTTAGGTGTATCAGTCATTAGCCTGATAGCATGCTAAATGTGACACTGATTGCCACAGCAGTCTACTTGCAATGTAAAGTCTGTGAAAGCACCTCAAACAAAGGAGGGGAAAAGAAAATAATTTGAGGAGGAGAAGCCTTACTCAGAGCCCCTTGAGTATGTGTCTACTCCGGCCCCCTCGTCTCCCTGTAGGACACAGAGGTGACTTTGGAAAGTGATCTGCAGACTGCTGGGCTGGTCTCAAGTGTCGTCATGGCGAGTTACTGGGCAAATGGATATACGCATCCTCATGAAAACCAACAAAGGGATATGTGGTGTATGTACATATTCAACTTTGTATGTTCAAGGGTGTTCTGCAGCAGAGTGAGCCCGTGCTTCAAGAATCAATCTTTATTAAAAAGGATAAGACTGAAGAATTGATTTAATGAATGCGGCCTCATGTCCTGCGGCCACATGTAATCCGCAGAGAATCATTGAGCATGAGCTCAGGGGGACAAAAATGTTCGTAGAAGACTCATAGAGTGGCCTGTAATGATAGTCTCCATATAATCCCATAATTCCTTGTTTAATTAAACTCTGGAGCTGGCCTTGAGACTCCGCCAGCTCTGTTGCTCTTTTGTTCTCACAGTTGTTATTTGGAGGCTAGGTTTGAGTATTCTTTTGTCCACTTATGTTCAAAGGTTTGACTGAAGTGAGCTAAAAACAGAGATTGAAGCTGTTAAACAATGAATTAGACGGTAGGCACTCACTCGGGTGAGACATTCAGGTGAGCATTATAGTTTTTATTGGAGCTGAATAGCGAAGGGCCTCTGTCAGAAGCAGAAATCTCTTCTTACACCCTCTCCTTCAATATCTCCCTTTATTTTCCCTCTCCCACACTTTCTGGACTGTGCATGATGCAATCCAACTAGGCCTAGAGCAACACTGGCACATCACGCCGCCTTGTCAATGTCTCAATGAGGAAATTATGAAAATATGAATTTTATGACATGAAATGAAAAGGGCCATGTAGTTTGAATAGACATGCAGAGGAGGTGAAAATGATGCAATTTTCTAAATTCAGTTATAATGGTAATGTGCAATGGTAATGCGTATTTGCTGTCAAAAATTTCCCTGTCGGCCTGGATTGTACAGCTTTGTGCAGTATCTATATTCCTCGAGCAAAAATTCAGCTTAGTTGAATGCCTAAAAAGTAATGTAAAATATGTTCTAATTCATTTAATGACAGCAGATGGAAACACATGGGACTGAATGGTTTTGGTGTGATATTGTGTTCTATTTTACACACTTTGGCTGAGCTGTGTATGAGCAGTGTGCCCTGGGCCAATGAGAGAGAAAAGCAGGGTGAGGAGCAGCAAGGTGGCCTGTGCAGATTAACCCCTCTACCCACCGACACCCCCGCACCCCTTCAGCCCTCTGCCTGCACTGCCTCTGGGGCCCCTCGCAGAGGCCGGATTGTGTATCAGGCCCTTCTCTATATTAAATAAATATCCACAGATTAAGATAATATTCTCCCAGTTGTATATTCAGAGAGAGTAGCTGTCATTGCAATCCTCTGTGTTGCCGGTCCCGCTCTCTGGAGCAACAAAAGAGGCTCCAAAATGCAGATAATGCTGTTAAAGCTCCTTCTTGATCAGTTGCAGCTCACATTTGATGCTATTTTCTACAAACACCCCTCAGTTAAATTACACAAATCAACTAGATTTCATTCCATGATCACACAGATGCCCTCTGTCTTTTCTTTCTTCACCTCAGCTAACCGCACAGACGAAGGTTCAGATGTAGATTCGGAGCCCGACCTGCCCCTAAAAAGGAAGCAGAGACGCAGTCGCACCACCTTCACCGCTGAGCAGCTGGATGAGCTGGAGAAGGCCTTCGAAAGGACACATTACCCAGACATCTACACCAGAGAGGAGCTGGCTCAGAGGACAAAACTCACAGAGGCCAGAGTACAGGTGAGACACCCAGAACAAGAGAGAATTGTGATGTAGCATGCCTGCATGTCAGTTCACCCACATTATTAAAACAGACTTATATATTGTGGAATATAGCATTGCAGAAAGTTTGACTTGCATTTTCCCAAGTTTTGAAGCATCTGGCCCCTGAGATTTCTGCCTCCATCCAAATACGTATAAAGGAATTACCATGCATATAATAATAATAATGAATGTCCGTATAATATATATTTTCTATAAGAACTTTTTATCTGGTTTATGGTTGAATCATTGTTTTAAACACAATTGGACTCAAGCTAACTGTAAACACTCTTGCAGAAGAAGAGGCTCACAATGTTTTACCTTGTTTAGGCTTGAACAGCAAATACTGTAATTCTTTTTAAAACACGGCAAAAAGCACTATGTTTGATACTCTAAGAAAGTAAACTTCGATTTGTTAGAAGGCTGCCTCTCTTTTAACTGTATTTTTCTGTGCATATAAAGTAGTTTGCTGCTTATCATTGGCCCTAATGTTCGAAATGTTTAGGAGAAACGCTCCCTATCTTCACACCTCAGACTCAGTAACCTGTCTGTCGGACAGCCTGGGTGCCCTGCTGCAGTTGCATGTTAGATTGAAGGAAGATATGTACAGTAGAGTTATGGCAGCAGCTGTTCTTCCACAGACGGGGAGAAGGAGAAAAAGAGAAAGGGAATGCATTCCTGATGGATTTCTCATTTCGGCCTTTGGCCAGGATCTCATCCCATCACTTTCAAGCTCGCCGCTGCTTGTAAAACCCTCCACATATCACACAGGGCTCCTCATCCTCTCCAGGGACCCTATGCCCCGACAACAACATTAATCAATCAGCTGCTAGTAAAAAAAAAGAAAAAAAAGAGAAAAGGTCTGGGGCACCCCTCTCCTCTTACCACAGTGGTTCACACTCCCTCTGAACCCCCCAAACTCCTCACCGCATGCTAACTGTTCATCACACTACAAACATGCAGTCGGGGTAACTAATTCCACACATGTCTTTGTCCATCTTGAAACCCCCCAACACGCAAAGGATGTCTTATATGTCTGAGTGTTTAATGCCTCACTCAAGGGAGGAGAAATTTCTCGCATGGCTGTTATAAGGCAATATATTATTTTATCTTAAGAGGTAAATTTGAGCATGACATGGAAAAACTGAAAGCATGAATCATTTCTCTTGAAAATCTTCTCTATTACATTCTGATAAGAAATATATAGAAACTAAATTTGATTTAGCATTTTGTAGATTTAGTTCCAACAATCCTAATATGATTGAATAAATACACATCATTGTACAAACCACATATATTGCTTAACTTGAAAAGCTTATAATTAAAGCCATGCACAAATGCATCAATCTTGTGCAATTTAAAGTAATCATGAAGGACAGTAATACATTTTTAAACAAAATCCATTCTTGTCAAAGCATCTGTGTATTTTTGGAGCCTGACAAAAATATCTAAACATGAAAGCTCGTGAAAGAAAGGAGACGGAGTGACTGCTGTGTGTTTACTGTTAGATAATAGACTTAAATGATGTCATGTGAAAACCTGAGGAATTTGAGTCATGGCTATAATTTGTTAATGCTGTTTGCCTCGTAATCTAATTCTTAAAGGCTTTGAAAGTCTCAAAAGGTCAACTTAAACTTAATTCTGAGAAGGTTACGAAGGCTCTGGTAGCCAAAATAAATAAAGATGCGCCGAAGTTTGGTAAAGAGGGATGGGTATCTTTAACTCTCACTTAAGTCTGATTGTTTTGTAGCAAAACATCTTTAGGTTATCACTGCTTTTAAGTTAAACGAGTGGAAATTTCATACAAACATAAACTTTGCACCCTTTAATGAATAAATAAATAATCAAGATAAATTAAATCTTGAAGAAATGTGTTTAATTTGAATTTGATGGTTTGCAACACATCGTTCTGGAAATGTCCACCAGCTGGGCTTTCACAAAGGTGTCCATCACCACGCAGGAGAGAGGAGACCCTTTGGCCCGAGAGCAAAGCTTCTGCAGCACATCTGCAATGACGCATCTTCCAGATGTCGGTCGCAGACCAACTGGTGTTTGGGGCGAGAGAAAGTATAAGCAGGGGGGGGGTGTCGATGATCCTTCAGACTCATATTTTAACTCAAATTTGTGTCTGAGGTCATGGTCCACTGCTTCCCATTTGTCATTAAACATAGTGTTAATGTGTGCAGTTTTCCAGGCTGGGTTCAGAGTTAAACTGAACTTATGAGGTGCATGCAAACACTGCTGCACCCGGCATTCAAACGCCTGAGCCCGAAGCCGTGTTATAAATTAAACTGCTAGTTTCTTATGGAAGTGATGAGAGTTTGGCTTAGCGCTGACTCACAACCTAAACTCATAAACAGAGCTGACTCGCTTGTGTTTGCCCTCGCCTGCCATTTTAAGAACCTTTCACCATCCATCTTTATCAGCCCCGCTGCCCCTTTCAGCAGAGCTACCAGCACTCCTTCACCACCATGAGCCCTGCGATGGTTTTATCACCCCAACTGACAAATTGTGGGATATGATCCGTATCTCTCTGCAATTAGTTCCAGGCCGTCTCAGTGGGAAGGGATCCTGCCAAGTCTACCTTCAGAATGTGCTCCGCTGATGCAGTGTGTGCTGCCACTTTCCATCTGATAACCCCTCAGTTCTAACAGGAGCAGGCAGCAGAGCCATTCAGTGAGCTATTAGAGAAAGGGCATCACTTGTGTCCCTCAGCAAAGTGGACCTGGTGGGGGTAGCTGAGGGGAGGGGGTGCAGGCAATAGGCTGCGGGCCGCTGTAAATCAGCGTTCACAGATGAAGCAAATTACAATCTCCTCTATTTAGTCTGAAGTTTTCTAAAAGAGTGACTCCTGAGTCGCGGCTGAGGCTCCTCATCTCAGCATGCTGCCTCCGGCTTGCTTTACTGAATCTGTCACATAGATCCTCTTTCATTGCCAATAAACATTCTGCATGTAGCTATTATACTTAGTGGAATCTAATAAGGTATAAGCATTGCTTTTTACGAAGCGTGCAAATCAATTTGGTAAAAGTTTCTCTCTTTATCTGTGGCTTGTGCTGGCCTGTTGATGCAATGGAATGAGCACTGAGAGAGGAGCTATATGGAGACTTTGTGCTGGTCTTCATAGCTTTATGTGACGGACCAGTACAGGCAAATTCAAATTCATGCGGATGCTTTCAAACCCGTTTTCAACACAGCTAGTGGAAATATAATCCCATTGGGAGGTATCAGGAGGTACTACACAGTTTCCTGATTGTTATAATATCAGTCAAGTACCAGCGGCAAGAGAGAACATCACAATGGAGCTGAGTGGTGACAACCAAACCCAACAGGCAACTGTATTCCCGCCAGTATGGGTTTATGTTTCATAAAGGAATAAATAGGATTTGTGTAGATTGTAGGGGAGAAATTGTTGCAATGCATCAGTGTGAATGTTCTAACAGTTTCTTATTATTAGAATTTAAATGACTTTGGTACAGTGCTTCTGTACTCCTGATACTTATCAAGCTAATCCCACTCTCCTCTCAAATTCACACTCCTAGCTACTTTAATTAGCATAGTGCCAGTCTGGAAGGCAAGCAGGGAGGGAATCAGAGAGAGAGAGAGAGAGAGAGAGAGAGAGAGGGGAAAGAAGAGGGGAAGGAGGGAGGACGGGGGGTGTATTGCGTGGTATGAGACAGAAGAGGATTTGTATGTTGAGGCTGGTTGCATCACCCCTCGGTGTTGTTGTGGATATGAAGTCAGCAGCACATTTTGTTTTGTCATTATCTCGGCTCTTGGTATTCATCTACCGAATGTTGCAAATTGGCTCCTGAAAGGCGTCACACATTCAGTGACAAAATAATTCATGGAGGATTGTCTGAACGGGGAATTCTGAAATATGAGTGATCCTATTTAAGAGAAACAACAGAGAGAGATTTTTACTGCAGTGCAGGGTAGTGTCACACATCCACAATGTTTGCGAGTGCGTATTATCACAGATAAGCGATAAGAAAATGCAAAATTCCACTTGATCGGCTAAAGATTAAATGCAATGAAGCGATGCAAGCCACCGAAATGAAGACTCAAACTGTGAATGTGTGTTATCCGATTGTAGGTTTGAGGTTTGCAAATAGACCCTCTTCCAGAACTAAAACAACCTTCACCCTCCTCCAAATATGTCTTTCTCAAAGTCTTCTTCTATTGTTTCCCAAGCAGGGCTAAGACTGACTTCTGTAAGATGGGTTACTGCTCTTCCATCCTCTCTTCCTCCCAAAACCTTCCCCAAAAGAGATGCAGTGCAGACTCATCCAAGTGCACTGCATGCAGAGAAACCTTTTAGTCCGTGAAAAGAAAACAGAAGTGAGCCACATGAATTCACACTTGTAGGTATGGGAGACATGGAGGAGCGCTGCAGCTCTCTGTACTGCAGAGAATTAAACCGGATTGGGGAGAGCAGAGGAGAATCTGTGGTCCAAGGTGACTTTGTGATCAGGTTCCAGAGCGCAGGCTCAAATCCTCAGCTTCAGGCTGTGTGTTAGTCTATGTGAGAGCCGATGTGTGTATGTTATGTATGCATGTGTGTGATAGCGTATGGGAAATTGTGTGCATGTGCATCGCCACTTGTGCACATGTTTATCCCAGTCTGTGCCGGGAGACAGCCAATTGTCCACTCAGTCAGCAGCAGTGGAGGCACACACTCTGCTTTTGTGCTAACTAACTCAACAAAGCCGCAGACTGTTTGGTAATTTAGGTAGTTAACGTTGAACTGAGGCTCTTAAAAGACTGACAAAGAATTGTTTAAAGTCTACTAATTTGCAAAGTAATTTACATTTTAAATGAAAGGATATATCTAGCATTGAGGTGATGCATCTGCAAATTAATCTACATAAGAACTGGAAACATTAGCAGAAAACTGAAATGCATCAGTGAGGACAGGAAAGTGTTAAAAGAAGAGGACTTCAACGTTTAAGTGTTTTGTGTCATGCCATGATGGAACACCTCCTTCCTAAGCTTGGATGACAACGGGGGAAGGAAGTTAAAGTGAACATAAAAGAGGGGTGGGGTGAGTGGATGAGGTCGGAGGTGAAGTGGCACTGCGGGGTGGGGTGAAGGGGAGTGTGTGGAAGAAAGGGGTGTACCCGTGCCCCCCTCCCCCAGGCAGGCAGCTGTTTGTCTGGCGCAGTAGGAGCTTAGTTCAGACCTTGGATCACGCTCCACTACATCCCAATAGCAGAAATTTCACTGGAGCCACTCTCCACATTTGTTTTGGAATCGCTGATTGAAGGATTCAAACGGGGTCTTTAGGAGCAATCAGGCTTGCGATAAAGATTTCCTGTTGGTTTTCCAGTTGCGTTGTTTGAGGTTTGCCCCAGAGAGTCATCGCCTGTTGCATCCCATTTCTTTTCTTGGTCAAGACTAAACCAATCTTTAGCACAAAAAACCCACCTGGTCTTTGCAGAGGTTTCGACAGTGTGGGAAAAGAACCACATTCAAATTAAGATCTCCATTGGGCTGAGATCCCTTGTAGGCCTATAAGAGTTTATATGTATGTTTGTGTGTACAAAAAGAGGCAGTCCCCGAGAAGCAGTGAGTATGTCGCTGTGTAAGTCCCCTTGAAAGTGTCCCTCTTTAAGACCTGTTTAAAAGGGACGCCCCCTCTTTGTGTCCACTGTTCTCCGTGGCGTATGGAGGGGCTTTTGTCCCCCTCTTTCATGTGCTCTCACAATAGCTTGGGCCGTTTGAAACACAACAGTAGATGAACTGCGCTGACAGTGTATTAAACTCTGATGAATTGCCTGTGCGAGGCATAGATCAATGTCCTTCAACCCTTAGCACACAGTGAAGCCCGGGCCTTGTCTTGGTTAAATGGAACAGGTTGCTGGCTCTTTTCAAAAGGGCCTGATTATATTCATGTTTTGTTGAAGCAGAAGCCTTTTTAAAATGTGTAAATCTTTGTGGTTCAAAAGCGTCCTATTTTGTTCCCCTTTTCATTCAGGGGATTGACATTGTGTGTGTCTGCGCTTTGGTCCTGTTCATTTTGTGAACATTTAGCTATTTGCAGCCTTGGAACTCTCTGTCTTGACTCTAAAGTTAAATACATTTTCTTACTCTTTAAACTGACTTTAAAGCTTTAAAAACAACCACACTGAAACAGCACGGCAGCGGATGGGCTGTTTTTCTGTGTCTCTGGAGAAGTGATGGCCTCTCTTCAAGCATCCAATAGCTTCACAAACATGCTTGAGGTGTGTGATATGGAGGGTAGTGGCCTACCTCTGACCTTTAAATGACTTCTCCCCTCTGAAGTGGGCTTAGGGCAGCCTGTTTACACAGATCACAGCTTCAGCCACTTAAGAACAACAGGGACGGACCACTGAGCCTCTATGGACGCTCCCACAGGGACTCGCTCCACCACCACCAGCAACGGCACTCATACTAACTGGAAGATTAATCACAGGTGTCAGGAACTAGCAGACGCTACTGAGGGTCTACTGCAGTCAAATTCTCACAGCACAAACACAAATACAGTATAAGTGAATGAAGAATAAAACCAAAACAACTACAAACCTGCAAAAGCTCAACTGTCAAAGCTAAAGTAGTTGAAAAAAAGGTTTGAAGTGTGCTTTGATTTTAAGTTGTGTATGTGTTTCTCTTCTCAGGTTTGGTTTAGCAACAGGCGAGCTCGGTGGCGCAAACAGGCCGGGGCCAACCAGCTAGCGGCTTTCAACCACCTGCTTCCTGGAGGATTCCCCCCCACAGGGATGCCAAATTTACCCACATACCAGCTACAAGAGTCCGGCTACCCCGGGACCACGCTATCACAGGGTAAGACTAACGGATAATATTTCCATCCGAAAACATACTGTACTTTTGAGTTAAATCTAATTTAAGTAAAGATTACATTAGTCCTATTTATTTGTGGTATGCCATCTGTATTTCATATTCATGTTAATACAATTATAGATTATATGAAACATGTGCAGCATATAAGAACCATGCAGCAAGTAGTTATGTTTACAATTCCATCTTTGTCACAGTGGAACGGAAACTGACCTTCACTTATTTTACTGTCCATAACAAGGTCAGGTCACTTCTGTCATTTGCCATATTTTTTTATGCAAAGAGACAGAAGACATATAGGCATGTGCCACTAACATCTTTTCTAACGTTATTAATTTGCAAAAAGTACAGTTAATGTATGACTTATGACTTTGAGGCCGCCGTTTTAGGATTCAACTCAGAATTTTAAGTGTGTGTTTCCCTCGATTCTCTCTTACATGTTTATGTTTCTCTTGGTGTCAGACGGTACTTTGCACAGACCCCAGCCCCTGCCTCCATCTTCCATGCACCAGGGAGGCCTGGGTGCCGACAGCAGCTCTGCTTATGGTCTCTCGTCCAATCGCCACAGCTTCTCCAGCTACTCCGATACTTTCATGAGCCCTTCAGCCTCCAGCAACCACATGAACTCTGTGGGCAACGGGCTCTCCCCACAGGTCAGTCCAACAAGTTTTACCTCCATATATAAAAAGTTACCTCATGTTCACCATTATCAGCCCATAACTCCCTCACTCCTCCTCTCACTGTTCAGAATATGTAATTGTATTTGACTGAAATTAAAATTCAGAAACAGCATGTTCAGGAAAATAACTGCCAGTGTGGGCTTTTATGTTCGCCTTCCAAAGCCCTGGATTTATTTCAGCTACTCTAAATTGCTACATTTGTAAAACAATTGGATTAACATCAACAAATTAAAATTCATCTTGATAGTACCGCAAGTACTCAAGCTGCTCCAAACAGCGGTTTCGACTTTCCTGGGACGTCTAAATCCTCGCGCAGCGCACTGAGAACACATGCAGATGAAATAATTAGCTAAAGCTTATAAATGTAGACCCATAATCTTCTTCACGTAATTGTCTGCTGCTGGAAGACTCTCTGCTATGTAGAGATTTTCTCCATTACTTTACTGCATGATTTCCAGGCAGCTTTATGCACAGATTGACAGAGGCTTCCTCTACGTGTGAGGTTTTCTAGTAGGTTTATCCTGCTGGCCACTTCACGTGCTCCTGTGCACTCCTGTCATGATAAAAGAGAACATTACCCAGGCTACTTAGGTTTCTGGGTTTCCTAATTGCAGTTTAAATCCCTCAAATATGTACATTACCCATTCTCCTCTGTGCCATCTTAACGTGTGACACAGTGCGTGCACATTTGTCTGCCGGCTCATGTGAAAAGCGCAGGATTTCACATGTTAACCTCTTTGGACACCTCCATTAATGAGCGTTTAAATGCGACTATGGTAAGGGTTGAGCTTTAAGTAGCTCAGAATGAGAAATGATTTGTATTGATGCAAATCGTGTGTACGGAGTGAATTATACACAATTACCCATCAATGCTGGCCAGTCTTGCCCACCCTCACCAACACGATGTGGTTAACAGGCAGAAAATAAGATTGAAATGGTGTGTAAAGAGTTGAAAATGAATTTCAATGCTGCATTTGTCCACAATTACCCCGTCGTTCACACATGTTTTATTGGGAGTTTTTTTTTTTTTTCTTCAAATATTTCTCAAAGCAGATTGGAAACATTCTTGGTATTACCCTCTTTCTTCAGAGAAGAAAGAATTAAGGATTTTGTGACAAAAAAGAGATTTTCTCTCCTGCTGGAGCGACGGAGGATAACATAGAGGCTCACAGCGTGTTTGATTGTTAATCGTGGCACAGGGGCTTTAACTGCTAATGCTCTCACTGCAAACCTGCAGAAAAACACCAGGAACATGGAGCCGATTTTTTTTTTTTCATTAATGGCTCTCTCTAATACTGGCATGGGGCACACTGTCGCTTTCTCTCCCTCTCTTCACAGGCATTCAAGAATGTGTTGGGATATTAAACATTTCCTGTCCTAGTGAGGATTAGGACAGGAGCCTTTGGGCAACTGTACAGCATGGATTTTCACTTTTCAATTATTCTATCAAGAGGGTTCAATTAAAATAAAAATAAACATGAAACATTTGTTTTTTAATTAAGTAATTTTTTCAGAACAGAAATTGTGGATTTCTTCTATATTTTCTTCAGAGGGGCATGACATGTAGTGTAGATGTTTTTGGTGTGTCACCCCATGTTTTCACTGCACAGAATTGAAACGTATTGAATGCATGCAGAATGCCGTGTGGCATTCCTATCAGTCTCTCAGCATGGAGATGAATGTTCCCACTGACAGCAGAATCAGAGTTCACTCTGTGGGGCAGCGTCCTGCTGGGCTGGGCAGCTCCCACCTCTCTCTCTCTCTCTCTCTCTCTCTCTCTCTCTCTCTCTCTCTCTCTCTCTCTCTCTCTCTCTCTCTCTTCACAAACATACAGATATACACAGAAAACCTGCAACACAAACTCACACAATAAATACTCAGTATACCTTTTCCATGTCAGACCTTATTCAAATATGTTCCAATGAACACATTTCAATCAAATAGCAAATCTGTTTCATCATTGGAAAACTTAAAGTTTATTTTCCCATGATTTACAGCAAGTCTTTCCCTTTTTTCCCTTCCCTGTAATGGAAAAAGAGCAACACAAAGAGACTCTCTATCGAGATGGAAATGAGAATTTGATATTGTAAGTTACAGAGAGCATCTGTTTGCAGGAGATATGCTTGTGCATCGGTATGTGCAAGCTATTTCTTCAAGTGTCTGGCATCGATGGCCTAGCAGTTGCTGTAAAGATTGACAAAAATTCTCTGATTCCCAGTAAATGGGCTGCAGCGGCGAGGTGCCAAGTCTGTAATGGAATCCTGCAGCGTTCAGCAGTCCCGACAGGGGTTCGCGTCCATCCCAATCCCATAACCTATCCCGACAGCACACATTTTCCCATTACAGGCGGTGGAAAAGCCATCCGCACTCAAACTGGTTGCTGTCATTGTGGGATGTACAACGTGTTTTGCTGGTTGAAGAAGGCAGTGTATTAGGGGTGATGAGAGTGAAGCTGTGCATGGCTGGGCAAAAGGTATGAAAACACCCGAAGTGTGTTTTGTTGTTGGTCTTGTTTCATTTAGCGGCACAGCAGGTGTGGAAAGAAGGAAAGGCAAGGGCACAGAGGACAGGCATTCCAGTTTTTCTTTTATCCATCTTTACCTGAAGATTCAAGCTCACGCATGCTTTTTCATTGGGATATTTTTCCTGTTAAAGCATTTGCAAAAGCCCTTTGTCTTGGCCTTATAAATGGCTATCATGATGCTATACATTTGAATTTTGCATACACAAGTAAAGCATCCCTTCTATAACTGAAGAGGGCACGCTTTGACAGCCAACACAAAGTCGTAAGAATATTGAATATTTTTGTACAAACCCTGGTAATATCATACTCTAAAGAGCCTTTAGATACTTTTCAAATGATTCTTTGAAGTAGTTTTCATGGGCATTGCATTTGTGGGGAGACATTTTGGCTGAATTCCTCATTATTGCATGACAGGGACACCTGCTGGGAGAGGAAAGAAAACAACTGCACTGACTGGAGACCCTGCAAAAGGATCTCAGTGGCAGAGCTTGGGTTTCACTCCTCTGAGAAATTTCCAGAAATAACGACATCAGCGGATAATAAGAACAAAAAGCATTTATATTGCAGAGTTGGAGATGCACTGTTGATGGTGTTCACGGGTTATTCAAAATGATAGGGAGACTTGATATAGAGTGGGAAGTCAAAGGTGTGACTGATAGAGATGTTATTTCTGTTTTGATGAAGGAAGTTTGCAAAGTTTTGTGAGGAACTTTTTTTCTGTTTTGCAGTTTTATGAAAGTGTTGTGTGTTTTGGAATGACAAGGATGTGTATGTGTGTATCTGAGGAGGGCCTTTGGGCTGTGTGAGTGGGCCGGGCCTTAACACACACACACATACACACACGTACACGGGATCAGAGGCAGAGCGGCTCTCACCCCTGCCTCCCTTTGATCTGTGTCCCCAGGCCTGCCTGCCCGCGCGGCGCTGCACCGTACCACGCACGCTGACACCATGCTCACCAGCGACTCCCCACAACTGTCTGAGAGAGATAAGCCAGGGGAGACTCCAAACTGTGCTGCTGCTCTTCCATTAGCTAGCGCAGACGCTTCTTTTAAAAACGGGATGAATTATTTTTAAGAAGCAAGCTCTGTCGTTGCCAAAAAAAAAAAATGGAGAGGGGAAAATATACGGAACAATCTGGAGCTCTGGCTTCCTTCCGCCTCCCTCCCTGACTTCTAACAAGACATTCTGCACCTGAATACCAATGAGAGGGGGAGATTCATGTAGTCCCCCACATTATTAAAACTTGGGCATTAAGCCTCTCACCGGGCACTGTGTCAGCTGGCAGGCTCCTCTGACAACAAATCAAAGGGGATGAGCACATAGCCTGCATTCATAGCTCAGCCACTCGCAGAGCAAGAGGGGGAATACATACTGGTTAATTAGAACTCCCATTAAAACAAATACTGTTTCAATTTGGCAAGTATAAAAAAAGATGTAAGAGGCTTTCAGAAAAAGAGACCTGCTGTTGGCAGCTGCCAAGAAAATCCAGGGACTGTAAATCATATCCACTGGCTATACTGTTTCTGCACAGATTATTAGTGTTTGCTGTTGTTTTGCAACACTTTTGAACTCTGAGGAAATATTCAGTATCTGTGACACTAGAAATGTGCCTCTGCATACACCGTGCTCGTCGTCATGTTGCGTTGGAACATCGTCATCTGTGTCTTAATGGGTCTTGGTTTGTTTACGCAGCTTGCAAAGACATATATCTGCATGGACTGTAGCTTTATGAAGTATGACATAACTGCTACTATTCTTTCTCATTATAAACTCAGAGCTTTATGGCACTTTCTCTTGAAGGCATCATGGTTCTAGCTGCAGCTTTACATGTAGGCCTCGTTTGGTAGCACTCTGTATACCTGAGCCATGTGTTGCTCACTCCATCTCTCCCGAGCACCCATAAGTGAAGCTATCTTCTTTTCCATTCCAAAATATTTTTGGTTGGAGCTTTATGCATTCATAATCTATTTTCACCTACCAACCTTCCTTCCCTCCATTTGGCTTTTTGTCATCCCATGATGCCTTGCCAATAGTGCTTTGCTCTCGCTCCCTCTCTCTCCCCACCTTCCTCTCTTGCTCCAACTCTCTCCCCTGGAGAGGCAGCTCTTCTCCCTACGCCCAGATGAAAGGCTATGGCGGACAATAAAAATGCTATTTAAATGCAAGGGTGTTTGTATGCGGCTGAGAGATATTTCCTGCTGAAAGTGTGCTGCTGCATCCTGATAAATAACAAATATAAGGGAATGTGATTTACATTTATCTTGCAGAGGCAGCCAATATGAATTTCAGTAAATCCTAGAAGATGGGGATTTAAGGAGGAAAATGACTGAGACTGATTCACATGCTGTGTGTCCCACGCAGTTGAAATGCCTATAAGGTGGAGAGTGGTACTGCCTTTATTAAAGTATAGGCGCAGACATCGATCCTATCTAAAATACCTATTACG